GTGGCTGTTAGAACAATAAATATACTATATGCAACATATTTACTATTCCTATTTCATGAAATGGAGAAGCAAGGAACACAAGTCTAATGTAATAACTTGTAATTCTTGTTTAAGGAAAAAAAGGGGAAATTGTGGTGAATTTTGGGAATGGTCTAGAAATCTTTCATGGATATTCATTAATATAACCTAGAAATTTGAATATTTACAATGAAAATTCAGCTGGATTGTTTTAGGGGAATTTTCTGTAATTTTTGAGTATTGGAGTACTTCCTACAACTTTTATTTCATATCAAGTACCTTACAACAATGTTGGGCGCCAAGATCCCTCTGGGATCTCTTGTTTTTTCATGTGTGTATCGGATAATCCAAAATGACTGCCTTGGCATATGATTGGCTGAGACATTGTTTTACAAGGACGGCTGGTACAATTGACTTATAATTTGCTATGGTCCTTATCATTATTTATCATGTAGATGGGGAAATCTAAAATGGCCATTGTGTCTTCTGATTGGCTGAGACATTTTAAAATTTTTCTCAAGAATGGATGGTGTAATTGATTCAACTTGGTACAAAATTATCCTTATTAGGTGAGGACCATGCAGCACTGCTGTATGAGACCCTCTGTGAGAAAGCTTATAGGTTGGGCCCTTCCTCAACATTGGTCTAGTTTTGCATTCAAAATCTTGGTTGCCATCATGCTATCTTGACCTGCTTTGAAAGTCATGACTTACCTTGTTGAAACAATATACCATATACCAGTATTTTCAAGATGCGTAAGATCTAGGGTGATGATTAAGCACCTGATAGTTCACTATGAGTAGGAAATATAGAGAATATTCGATATTTTGATAATTGATAAATGTTCAGTCAGTATATGTTACCACCTAATGTAGTTAATGTAGAGAGGCATAGATATCAGTGGCTTACATGTCCTTTACAATCAAATTTGAGTGACTAAAAACTCCATATTCCCTCAAAAACATCCATTCTTGAAAACAAGCATATTCTGACCATCCAGTTTTTGTTGTTTTCTTCGTTAAAAATGATAAAAATAACAAAAAAACATGTTAATTTGTTTATTTTTTAGAAGATCAGAGTAGGTGACATAATATAATATAGTTACTGGCAAATAGAAAACTAATGTAATTCATTACCCCTGTGTGATGAAGACAGAATTTTGTTCATTTGAGAATTGGTTTTCTCTCATATCTTGTTATCTGTATAACTACTACAAACTCTAAATGGGTCAACAATATATTTTGCCATCATTGATGAATCTAAATATGACATAATATTTATCATATTTTCCGATGAATACATATTTTTAATGTAATATGATTGTGAGAGAAATTTTAATTTCCATCTGAAACATAAGTTATTGTTACATGTTATAGGCAATCTGAGTTACAATTTTATTGACCAGAGATCCTTATGATAAATAGTCAGTCTACATAACGTACACACACATTCTCACAGTTCTCAGTGTTGAAAGTTACATTCTGGTTACTTGCATACATAATACATCTACATTGTTTATAAGCATTTATAAATATTCATGAAAGTAAGTAAAAAACATTAGTATTAGGTGATTCTAAATCACTACTGATGATTTTCAAAGTGAAAAATAAAACTATAACATAAAGGTTCAAACACAATAACAAGATAGGTTTTACATGTTTTACATGAGATAAAATAAAAGATAAAAAGTTGTAAAAGTGGATTTTTTGTTTCCAAACAAGAGATAAATTAGTGAAGACTTGGATAGTGATGGTGTGGACAAGAATGAGAACAGTCATCAAACATCCAAAAATATAAGTGATCCTTTTATGTCCAGTACTTAACCACACTGAGAGAAATTAAAATATATTTCATGGTTTATAGTACAATACTTTGTTCCTCTGAATTCTTGTTTATATATCTTCCAGGTAGAAAACTATATTTCTAGTAAACAATGAAGTGTTGACACAAACATCAATGTTATGCAGTGTTATATCATTTTATATTGATAGCAATATCAATGCAGTTTGCACTTTCTTGTCTCTATGTTTTATTTCCTTTCTTTGCCAAATATGTTCCTCGGGATAGATAATACTGTTGACTGTCTTTATTGGCACATAAATGGAAATTAGCTACATCTGCCCTATATTACAAGTAGACTTTGAGTAATAATCGAAAGCTATGCTGTAATTGTTCGTGATGGCGCTAATGAGAAGTTCTTTCGCTAAAAGGTAATCATTAAAAAAAAGTGTAATGTAACATAATGATTATTAACTCTCATAGAATTGAGATTTTTCCTGCTTCGCTATTTTAATTTTAATGAAATCAAAAATTTCATCCACAACATCAGCAGTGACTAGACTAGTAGGAGTAATGGTACATCGCTCTTTCCAATATTTCATCAATGTCTTCCTTATTTTGGAGGTGTATGGCAGAATATAGTCACTATCTGTTAGGTCTACTCTGATGTCTCGTATAGATTTGTCAGTGATGACCACAATTTTTCGTCTTAACTTCTTCGTAGGTTTTTTATCACATACACATGTAGGATGAAACAGTTTTTTGACCTTGAATGAGTATTGGTTATGATGGTAGAGTCTGATTTTTTCACCCTCAAGTTGTAACCGTGTTACATCTCTGACATTGTTTTTCTGACCAACTCGAGTGACGTATGCTGAAATGACAACAACATTGGTAAATATTTATAATTGTAGTAGGACAAGACAAAATATGCAAGTGCGATGAGGAGAACTTGTAAATGAAACCTAGTATTGACACTTAAAAAAGACCGCAGTTGTGTAGAAAATTGTTTATGGATGGATGGACCATGGAGATTTGACTAGCCCATCATCGGATGATGGGCTAAAAAGCAGTGAATCTTGCTAAAATGTTGAACCCACTCTCATTATTTCTGGAATGTAGAGTAAAAACAACCCTAAGATAATAACTTAAATTGTCATGTTGCTCATTGGATGTTTAGTTGTAATGTAGGTAAGTGCAATATGAAGCATAAGTATAAACAAATATCATTGTGGACACATAAACAATAAACTTGATGTTTGAGTTGTTTTCATGTGCATGGATCAGTTGTCCTCAATATTTGGCAATGTGATGGAAATAGAAGAGAGATGGATATGGAAGGGAGGGTAATGGGAACGTTGTTTACAGACAAAAAAATCAACTCACCATTAGTTTTACAAATATCAAGTGCGCCAGACCTGATTTTACGTCTGATTTTCTTATCATCCTGTTCACAAAGCCATTTACAGATAGGATGTTCCTGTCTCCGGCATCTGTTGATATAATGTAGAACAATTGTGGTAACAGAACATCATTTGATGAGAAACATTATGGTCTAATGTAATGACAACAAATCAGATCATCTTACGTTTTAAACATCTGTACACTTCAAATTAATTCTTCTTTCAATAATGTCATTGCTGTAATGGTAAGTTAACAATGGTGTTTTTTTGTTAGCTAAGGCTCAGTTACTTTTATAAGCCAGTCAGAGTGTATTTAATGAGATAAATGTGATAGCCATACCTAAGACAAGGCAAACATGTATATGACAGCTTCACAATTGGGAGAAATGAAGAATTGGAAATCTTAAGTAATGTAGTATGACTCACTTGTTTGGCTTGGTCAGTACTTCAGATCCACAACATGTCTGTCGACTTGGATCTAAAGCCTTTTTACCGCAGCAGATTGTCCCTGGCAGCTTCCAGTGAAGTTGATTGTCACAACATAACTTCATTTCAGTGTTATAGATTTTTCTTCCACACCATGCATTTCCACAGCTAAATCAGGATATGTAAAAGTTTGATATTTATTTATTAGGCAAAATATGTTTCTTGGATGAAAAGAAAGTGTCAATTTTCCCTTGTTGTTTTGCCCTCTATAGGTAAACATGCCAGGTTTTACAAAAAAGCTGTATGTTATACACTTAACCAATGGAACCCACCTTAAATAATTATCTCCCTGTACTGTTTACTGGGAAAGATTCCTGTAAAATGTAATTTAGGTCAGTAGTACATTATTTTTATGGTAGACACTAATTTGTCTTTGTTTGTTGTCTTAAATGCAGCCCACATTCTCAACTTGTTTTGTTTTGTTTTAATCACCTGGTAGTGTTGTAGACTCTTCCCTGTTCACAACAACTCTGTGTTGCTGGGTTAAAGACATCATACTGACAACACCTTTTACCTTCGCTCAACGCATTATGGTAGAAGTAGTTGTTACAACACAGGTCACTGTTTTGGTTATAATATAGCCGTCCACATTTTGGTTTGTCAAGTTTCTTGGTAACTTTGGGCTCGTGTCCTCGCTGGCACTCTTCCATCTGATCTGAGTAGGGTATAGCACTTAAACTTCCTTTTTTGTAACTTGTACAGCATCTGTTTTGAGAGCTGCTTTTCTTCCTCGTTTGGAAATATCTGAAATTGAATGGAGTTCCTGCTTTACAGCAGACCGAGTCCTGGTTCAATTTCTCTGCCCCACAGCATTTATCTGCAACCTTAATTGCACTGCACTGTTTGTTAGCAGCTGAAAATAAGATAAAGAAAAACATGTATAAAGCAGAATAAAAGGTTTTCTCATTCAATCCATGCTATAATCCACTTCAACACAATCTGTAACTTTATGTTTGTCAGGACATTTCACATTGCTGTCATACAGACATATTTCATTTTTGGTCTGAACCGACATTGACCCTGCACTGAACTGTTACCCGTTATGGTGATATTAGTATATTCTTCTGTAAAAGAATTACTTCATGTAATGTCTTTCATCATAATGAAGTTTTGTAATTGTTCAGATAACTTGATTAGGAAATATTTTCTTTCAATATCAACGCATTAAGTTCTCTTTCTGCTGATGTATATTTGAACGTTACTTTTTTCAATAAAAAGTGTCTTGTGTTTACTTATCAATGAAAAAATGTATTGTCCAAACATTGACCTCTACAGATGATGAATGTTGATTTGTCGTATGCTTGTCCATTGCAGCAGTGATGAGTTTTCGTGTCAATGGTTGCGTCACCACAGCACTGATCAGTCTCCTTTGAGATACCCACTGGAACACCATTACAGCAGCGATGTGTTCTGGGATTGAATCCTGTGAATCAGAACGTTTGGTCCTATATCAAAATCCATCAACGAAAGTCGCAGAACCATTTAAAAGAAGAAAACAAAATACCATAAATGTCATTCACTGCCTTTTGCCTTTCTTCAGAAGTGACCTTATTGATCTAAAAGACCTTTGGTATTTGGCTTCCAATAATAAGACAACTACTGCAAATGTTACAGAAGGTTATAAGTGAGAAAATGATCTGAATTGGACATTTGTAAGATATGGACCTCATGCTTCCTTCCCTGTAACACAGGACAGATAGGGGAAATTTGAAGATACTCACCATCACGATGTGATCCACAACACTGCATGTTGATTGCAATGGTGTGAGTGTTACCGCAACACTGGTGTGTATTCCTGTTAAAGATTTCGTCTCCACAACAGGAATGGGAGGAAACCTGTGACACATTACGATGTGCCTGTCCATTACAACACAAGTCTTGGCGATCATCAATCTTGGTATCTCCACAGGATCTACTAAACTTGAGCGTTTTTCCTAATCTGTTTGTTTCCTTATTTATGATACAATCATGAGTATTCTTGTTGATGTAATCTTTTTGACAGCATATTTTGTTATTGTCTTTAGTATAAAGCCTAACCTTAAACATCCCATCTGTGCAGCAGACTTGGGTTGTGCTGTCGTATTTCTCATTTCCACAGCATGTGTCATTTTCCCCTGAAAACATTCAAAAATCACAATTGAAAAAGCCTGTGTTTGATAAAATGTTGGAAGCCTTAGATTTATTCAAAGTGAATTCTACAGTTGTAGTATGATGCAAATATTAACATTCTACCGCACTTGTTTTTGTTTATGAACTCCAACACCCTAAACAGTTCTATCACACTTTCTTCCATTTATTTAGCGCGGAGTCATACAACAATATTACAATACTGCTGCTGTCGTGAGTCCCACTTAAATGTTTATGCCCCTTAAGTGATATCGCCAATTCAATTCACTGTAATGAAAAGGTGATATCATCTAATCATTTTAGCAGAGTAAAGTGGAATAAAAAGTAAAATCACTTCCCATGTCCTGTCGGGAAAATATCAGGACAAATTAGTTCTTGTTGAGGATTTCTTATACAAATGTCATCATATGTAAAGGAAAAATATGTTTTTAACAGTGTAGTTAGTTGTGGAATGTGAAAGTGTAACCATGTCATCATCATCATTTACATCATCATCATCATCTACCTTATCAATATCGTAATCATCATTCCTCATTTTCATCAGTTACAATGAACATGATGACATTCATCAGAACCTTTATGATTTATCACCACAATCTCATCATAATGCATTTTAATCACTTAACAAATGAGAGATATCAAATTAAATTACATATATAAGGATGCTGACTTATACAGATACAAAGCCACCTGCACAACTAATCATCATTTAAGAAATATGAAAAGTGATTTGTAGCGGATTAACTATTTAATGCAATGTCAATCATTGTTAAATTAGTTTAATTGGAAAAAAAAAATAGGAGAAGCTGCCCCAGATAACTGAATTCAAAGATTAACATTGAATTGCCTTTTTGAGTTTGGGTATATTTAAGATGTAGACACAGCATTATCAGGATAAAGTTTTCATTAACTTAAAGATTATCAGGTTTTATCACTTACCAATAAGAGAGGTAAACAGATTGGCGTTTGCATGGTTTTCGTGTGGTTGAGGAACACAGCAAAGCTGTCCCCTTACCCTGGGGTATGGTTTAGTTCCACAGCATCCTTGTTCTTGGCCCAGAGAGTCTCTGCGAGGGAACTTGCCTCCTAAACAGCAGATGTGTTCCTCAGGGTTATATACCTGCGGTATACCTGTAAGAAGTATAATTAGTACAGCCATGTGTCTAGTGATAACCTTTCTCATCGTTGTTATTGTTTGTTTCAATTAAACGTTTTATGAAAATTTGCGTGTCCTGTTTTGCTCTTATAAATATTATTCTTTTGACTTACCCTATATATCTTTCCAATGATGAAAGTAGCTACAAAAGTCCACTTTTTAACCCATTTTCTCATCCGTAATAGGTATGCTACACCGTGATAAATGTTCTCATTTAGAGAAAGATTTAATCCAGTAGTTTACTTCTGTCACTATTGCTAGTAAAAATAAAATTCAGAGACTTTCCTGTCGCGTGCTATAAATATATCGCCGAGATTAGTGATCGTTTTAGTGGATATAATTACCGCCAGGGAGACTGTCTTTACAACAGCAGTTTTTACGACCATTTAAGACCTTTGGATAAATGTTGCCGTTACAACAGAAGGAGTATATGTCCGGCGAAACAACTGTTCCATTGGTCAGCTGACATGGCAGATGATCGTAACGACATGCTGATGCAGCTGAAACAGAGATGATAGGTTTACTGTAGTCAAAGGTTCAGTAGGAAGTTATACTGAAATAACACATGAAATTTCAGTTTAAGTATTTCATATCTCTAGAAAGCTGATGTATTAGTTTCGGTCTCAAAATATTTGAAATATTTGTGTACTTGATTCCCTACCATTGATACGTATTAGTGCTTCTGATTAAGACTGTGCGATTTGAAAGTGCTTCTGTAATTGTACAAAGACTCGTGTAATTTTTGTGTCGTAAGGCGACAAGCTGAATCATCTTATTTACTACAGCTATTGATGGTGTTTACTATAAATGGAAATCGGTTATATGTGTTAAATTTTCATCAATTCTTTATCATGTTTGAAGTATTAAACGAGTTATGGCTGTCTTCCTCAGTTACACTTGTCTCAACGTTTGTTGAACGTAATTAATAAAATTCATTTAGACTTGCTGGAGACAGACATTCGTTCTAAGCGGAAAATAAGGAGTCTTAACATTGCGGATGTGAGAGAACGAAGGAACGCTAAAATCTGTATAAATGTAGAACACAATCCCATAGGAACATCTCATGTATCTTCCCCTAAAATCGCTAAAAGCCTTTTATCTGAAACCGATATCTTGGAAAAGTAAAAAGAAAAATCGGAACCACCTCACTGCGAAATAAAATCATGCATCATACTGGCAGAAATTTTCCAAGGATTAACTTTAACAGTAAAAATGAAAGTCATCAGTTGAAGTGTCCATATGTAAAAAGATATGTCCTTTTACCATTCAGATATATTATATGGAACTTTAAGATGGGTTGATATGTTGAGAAAGTTTTGGCGTTATATGGTGTGCTTTCCTGGCTACCATTATTTTGTATGCTTCTGTTTTCATACATTGAAACATTTCTACTGCAGCGCTCCCGTGTAATTGTAACTCGTGTATTAGAACAGCACAAATTCTCAATCTGGATTGCTTTGTACTACCTCAGACACAATTAATATTTTTGAGGAAAGGAACGATGACCTTTTTCATTGATATAGAATCACGATAGTGACATGTAACAACGATTCACAAAGACTACCGACATCTGACTTGGAAACACAAAGAATTTCATCAGTTTGTCGTTAGGTTCGCGACAAACACGTAAAGTCAATGATTTTGTGTTCCGTCTAAATTCAATGAGTATGTATCGTATGCCTCTACTCTGTAATTGTCATTTGATATTGAACATATTCCTGGAATCATCTTGTTAAACACTCGAAATATATTTATGATAAAAATCTCGCTTTAAATGAGATAATATGTTGATACAGCGCACTTACGTATTTCTATTATCAAAATCTGTTATGTTCAGGCGCACCTATGTAAGTATGGCGTGCGTCACGTACTCTATTTGGTGTCAGTATAGTTTTTTTTTACGTATTTGGTTATTTCACACTTAGGATCGGCTTAATAAAGTGATACAAAAATCCGTAAATGTCTATACTATTTGTTAATGTAAATAAGACCAGAAACTCAATGAATGAAACTCAATTTTACAGCTGCGTATACAGACGTGTTAAAAAAAAACGGATCATTGTACATATTTTAAGGGCCTCTCTCTGAACCCAAGGTCATTTCCATGCGAGATACTCTGTGGGAGAAAAACAATTGACAGAGGACAGAGCGTGCGTTTTCACTTATTGTTTTGTTAAAACATTGCCTAAAATATTTCTGATGAATACTTTCATATTAATGTAACACAACACCTCACCCCTCCCCCAACAACACCAACAAAAACCTAATTGAGAAACGAAACGACCATAGTGACGATACTTAAAAGTAGAACAATCGAGTGGTACATTTAAATTTAAACTCAGTAATTGATGCTGTGAACTACAAAAATATATGCAGTTATAACATACAGTGATGAGAGAACATGAATGAGAAAATATTTATCTGTCTTAATAAGGAAAATAATTACAGGACGACATCCGTTCGACAAAGTTCCTGAAATAGAACTGCGACGAATATAATAAATTTTACTAGTTAGTAGAACAGGCTGTGATTAGCTGTCGTAAAAAAATGAAGAAGGTTATTAAATCGGTCAACGACATAGACAAAATATGAATTTATTTTTTTCAAATGATTAAAGTAACACAAAATCCGTTTTAAACGAAATAAATACATCACGAACAAGTTAAAACATCATTGTATTTTTCCGTTAGATTTTACTTAAAATAATTTAGAACTCAAAAAGAACTTCCAAAGTACTATTGTAAATGTATAAAGAATACATTGTCAGTGTCTTAAAATATTAGGTTTATTTATCAATGGTGAAGAATCACAAAATTAGTATTCTTTGAAAAATTATATTCAAATGAATCAGAAAGTAATTCGGGCAAATTAATGCACGTGCTAAAATACAGCTGTGTTCTGTAACATGCGAATACAGTAAATATGAATGTGGTACGTATATTCCGACAATGGTAGCATCAGTTGCAGAGTAAATAAGATTTAACCTTTTCATATTACATTCATGCATAACCTGCCGTAAAATACAAAATAAACATATAAATACCTGAGAAAAGGTAGAAGCAAAGAAAAACCACTGCCTGGTACATATTGATTAATCCTATACATGTGGAAGCGACAACATATTTATACCTAATATATCGGGTTTCCCTAATGCTAAAAATAGCTCAACATACGTCATTGGGTTCCCCTAAAAGAACACGTATTATTGTGCATTGCCGGAATTTTAAACATTAAAAAATTAGTTCTTCTTCTCTGAACGAATATAGAAACAACGTAAAATGTTCAGAGAAATGCTCTTTATTATTATCATGTTTTCGGGGGTTGACTTTCGTGACTTTGCTGAACATCGACTTTGAGATTATGATATGTCCGATGTTGTGTCGATTCGATCAACCGACTCGATAATGAACATGAACGGACACACACACTTTATATACGTCACTCCTATACTCCCACTTAATCTAATTTTATAAAATGACCAAATTAACAAAAATAACAATTCCTGGGAGAACGTGGATTTTTTTTTCAAATACCCACAGGTAACGTCAATTTGTAAATGATTATGAATGAGATTTAGAGGTCAAATGGGTATCATTGGAATTACAAGCGACATTGATCTTAGACTAAATATACCTTGTTGTGATCGTTACATCCAGATCATGTTCGTTGCTATTTGCTGTAATTACCAGCGATGATCTACACAATAAATTCTTCCTTGTACAAAGCGGAAGTATTACAAGGTGTGACGTGTATTAAATTATATGTATTAAAGAGGAAATCCCTTCGCACGAGAATTCTAAGTTTTCGATATTTTTGTCTACAAATGGTTATTAAACTGTTTTGGGGATGCTGATTTCAGTAGTTTCACTTAGAACTATGAAAAATGTACCTTACTGTTGTACAGGTAGTGTCTTGTTCTTACTTATAGTAATTACATATCAGATGCAATTTGATTATCAATGTTCTTTTTCAGTTTTCGTTATACGGATATCTTCATTTCCGATTTCCTTGGGCAGTTGTAATTTCTGAAGACCATTCTAATATTGAACACCCTGGAATAGCTTCTGAGAATTGGCATTAGTTTCGTTTGTTGTTTGTAGGGATTTCTTTTTATTTTGCTCTCCGTATTCATGTATTCTGAAATTCACTGAAGAAGCTATTACATTCACAGAATTCCACTAGTCATCCGGAATTTTGTTTCGTAGAAATTATCTGCGTACTTGCTAACTCTTCTCACTGTTTTTTATATTACACTTGTTCTGTTTGTATATAGTTAGGTTATGACTTTTGATAAATTTTATCATCTAAACTTTATAGTATTTGACGTGACAATCCTTCAAATGTTATTATCGAACTTGTGTTGGAGATTGATTCTTAAACAATTGATATTGTTTTCATACGATTTACTGTGCTTCCTCATTATGGATCGTTAGGTATTGACAAATTAAACGTATTTCTTTCACTCTTTCCGTTTACAACAGTAGTGAATGTTTAAATTCACTAAGGTAAGTATATTCAAGAATATGTAAAACTAGACCAACTCTACGTCACTGTCTAAACTAACAGTCTTGGTAAATGTTCCGAACTCTAGTGATTCCAGGAATATCTCCGCATTAGATTCAGTTTCAGGAAGTGTTCTTTATTGGAATTGTGTGTCACTGGACTTCTATCTCAGAAAATATGCGTTTTACTTATATATAGGAGTATAAAATCAGTTTGAAAAAGAAAATATCTGATTTGGCGAAGGGATATGTACAAACTTATTGTCTTGTAAGTACATTTTAGTAATTATTTTTTATTATGGTGAAATGAAGGGAACGTTATTGTGCTACATATTAATTCAATATAAAATATCCTCTAGATTTCCGGCATATGTTACGTAAAATAGTCTGAAAGGACTATCTAAATTGGGATCAAGTATAATGGTTTTCCTGTGATTAACATTATAAGTTATTTAATTGATTCAGGAAAAAATTTTAAGTAGTGAAAAGGAGTTGTTATGGCTTATTGTCGAAGAATAAAATATATTTTTTTCCTATAATATATTTTCTTTTAAATGATGACGCTGATTCAAAACCAACACATGTATTATATTTACATAAACATAATCTGTAATGTTCAGTGCTAATTGAACTATAACCTGTTATGTATTGTGCCGTTTATTTATAACACATAGTTTTGTTTCACCTGCCATTTGTATACTCCCATCGAATTAACTTTTACTGGTTATTTTGACTCGTTCGTAAGCTTAAGAAATAATGAAATGTATTCCATTTCTAAAAATGATTCATTTGTTAGTGAGAGTTGTTGAACATGATTTGAAAAATGTCCTGCCACATTGAAGTAAAGGAGCAGGTGAAGAGGGGATCTATTTTCCAAAATATTTGAAAATTCATATTTTTTTCCAACTTCGCGCCACAAAATCACAATGAAAGGAATAATCTCCACTTTAGTGAAAAATCGTTGACAATTTTCCAAAATTTCAGAAAAGATAAGTAATGTTACAAAATTTACTTTGAAATTAAGTTAAAAAAAAAGTGCCCTCCACTTTGTGAATGGCAGCATATGTAGACATTTCTTGCTTATAGTTATGATATAGTTGTGTATTAGTTGATTGCCTTTCATTAAGGACGTTTCTTTCCCGTATGATACTGATATCATATTCAGATTTTCATTTCATCAGTCATTTTATATCAGAAATCTGGAACACAATAATCGTCAATGATCTTTCCAAAGCATTGAAATGCTGGATGTTTGTCCCAAATAAACATTTCACTCGTTAAGTGCCCTATCGTGTAAAATTGAATCTGTTTGGGATAGTTGCTTTATTTGTTATCTATGTACATAACAATTCTCGCCCCAACTCCCTTTTCCCCCCATAACATTTTAGCGTTATCTGTTTTCGATTATACAAAAGACACACAAATGAATTGCACCATTCAATACAAATATTTGATTAGATACAGCATAGCCACATAATGAATTAAACTGTATCATCCAGTTTTATGTCCTTCATTAAGGGTTAAATGCCGTAACGATAATAAATGCACTTAACACGGAATAACACAAGGAAATCAGACCGAAAAAATCATATTTCCATGTTTACTTTCATATTGTATGCCAGTCTCATTTCTCATGTACTGTCTTTCATTAATGTAAGCCATGTTTATTTGTCTTGGAACTAGGCCAATTTCATAATCTTCCCAATGACTAATGAATTAGGAAAAACCACGTTTCCTGGTACATTGTAGTTCCGAAAAACAAAGTAACAGCAGCCTGAAATATGATAAATAAATATAACTCTCGTTGCCAACACATTTGACCATTTTCATGGAGAAATTGAGATAAAAATTTTAAATGAAACTTCTTTTATTTTCATCATACAATTATATCATCTACTTTGTGAGATTATACTCATATGTGATTCCCTATCACTGGCTGGAAAATGGGGTTTGGGAACACCACTAGCTTTTGTTATGATATTGCCATGCACGACAGGGCACCACTAGCTTTTGTTTTGAGTTGGATATTGCCATGCACGACAGCACAAACCACTCTCACACATACAATTCTATGTGGTGACTGATAATGTTGTAAATTTTCTGTATAACTGTTACCTAGATGGATACAGAAAAACCCAGTCGACCTACTAAACTGTAAATCCCAATTATGTAAACCGATGTTTCGATTTCGAAATAGGTATTGATTTTGTGATGATTTACAACATTATTCTACAGCATAAGCATTGACGCATTCATGTGAGAGGTAGAAAATAACTTATGACGACGAAAAATTACCAATTGCCGTTGCGTGATGGGTTTTCCTGATGCGAATTTACAATGATAGTCACCAGCCATTATCCAGCGTTTTGGTTTCGGTTGATATGTTTCATGATGATTATACTTCATTTAATATTCCTGCTAATTTGTTGGAATGCTTTCTCTTTTGAAGTTGAAATATAAACAAGGAAGTTTAAGTGAACTAAAAATCTCCGCTTCTATATTTTAACCTGATTGTGATTTTTCTAACATCCTCGTTGAAATTCACTCTGATGATTCTAAGTGATGAAATAGCAGTAATGGTACAATTAACATATGTTAATCTAAATTTTGATTTTTTACTTTCTTATTCCTTTTTATACGCGACACCTTATAAAATCAATACCGGAGGGAAACTTAAATGAATAGAAATCAATCAATAAGTTTAAACATTTTATTGTCACATTAATTGTACAAAGACACTTATGAACAGATTTTTCAATACAAATTGATAGCTAGTTGCGTTATAGCTAAACAATGAATAAACAGATCTATACAGCTGTTTCGGCCTTTCTAGGACTCGTCAATTGTAACCTATGATGCTACTGAGAAAATCGATATTGACCGTAATAAGTGTTAAATATACATTGGAAGGTGCACTGCACACATAGGGCAATGTATTGGGGCATTTTAAATTCAATATAATTTCTCAAGAATAAAGTAAACATTTTTATTTGGGACCTTTGTCATTACTCGAATGGTTATGTATGGGGTTGGAGTACATCTCATATTTTAGTTTTGAAATTGGACCATTTCTTCTTTTTGTGTCCTCTACCGTACCTGCCTGATATTTTAATAAGAAACTTATTTTTGTTAACGGGTTTTTTTTTTTTATTTAATATACTTTTCATCCTTCTAAAATATTGTCATATGATAAGAAAATATTACTAAATGGTAAGAAATCAATATAATCATGATATTAAAATGATATTCCTATTTTCAGTGTCGTTAACCTGCACTTCGCCACTGATTTCCGTAAAATATAATGAAAAAAAAACTTTTCTCCGAACTTTTCCACGTTGTACAGCATAAAACATCTGTTGTAAAGATAAAGCCTCTTAACACATCCTTAACGCGGATTCATTTTATCTCTCCACCCACTCCATCGTCAACGCATGTCTACTCAACATACAGGTTGGTCACAGTCTCCTTCATGTTACCTCCATATTGTGAAGTATATTTACAGAAAGAGATTTGATAAAATCATAATTGGACCCCCCGCTTATACCAAGAAAGGGCTTGTTTTTGTCTCCACGTGACCTATCAGTGTGATCTGGATATCCATGTAGAGCGTGGGTAGACTTTTTACATGTAGTATTTACAGACTGGCTTAGTACATTCAAAATTAAGTTTAACAGCTTTATCTAATATGTAATCTGGTGTTTGTCCAATGATAATCGTACACATAACTTCACAGTGGTTAGTCACCGCAATTTCTCACAATTTCGCTTATGTAGGTCATGAACCTGGAATTTACAAAAGCGTTTGAAAAAACCTAGAGAGTGGGAAGTATTTTTGGATTTTCATTGGTTCCAAATATGAATTGTTTCATGTTAGAAAATTTTGAAAGAATGTAATTTTCCAGCCTTATTGACTATAAAACTTAGTTTATTCCTAGATTTATTAAACATTTCTCACAGAGTTTGAAAGAATTAAGCATTATCATTATCTGAAATTTTCAACTACAATATTTATGGTTAGATATCTTTTATAACACTATATGTAATGCTGTATTACTTTGCCTTTTTTATATTCAGTATTTTTAACAGAAAACAAACAAAAAAATGTCTTTTTACAATCTCGAAAATGCATAAAAATAAGTAAAGGAAAATAATCGAAAATGAGCTGATAGAAAGTAAAATGTAAACCAGTATGAATTAATTGAACTTTGAACTTAACATAAAGAATATAAAAAAGTTAAATATAGCACAGGTAGTTATTTTTCACGCTTGGAACACTCGAAACGAGTAAATTTGTCGATTTATAGTAATTTCACTTTTTTAAACGAGCGAAAACGCGGTTAACCTTACAACAGAAAAAAACCCTACCTGATGTGTGTGTTTATGATCAGAAATTGATATTTTTGTTGATTCGAAAGGATCGGTGACTGAAATTCAATATTTCGGAAATATTTGAAATTGAAAAGTTAGGATAATCACCTATAATACGTTATAGAAATTTTACCACGATAGACGGCCATGTGTTTAATATTTCACGAGTACTTATTCAAACACTGTGTCGTTCGTCTATTCAAGTATACGGTGTGGACTAGACGTAAACGATGTAAAATTTTCATTGGTTAATCTAATATTTTTTATTGACATGTAAAATTGCAAAAGGAATCAGTCAGTAAGTTTTCAAACTTAAAAGTGATTTTTCTCTTTTTTCCTTTTCTTATATCTTATTTTTTCTTTATTATTTTCATTAAAGTAGAGTAGACATGAATGCTGTAATAATATTTCTAATGTAAGCTAGGCATGATCGATGTAACATTTATAGATGTAGACCGGACATGATCGATGTAACATTTATAGATGTAAACCGGACATGATCGATGTAACATTTATAGATGTAAACCGGACATGATCGATGTAACATTTATAGATGTAGACCGGACATGATCGATGTAACATTTATAGATGTAGACCGGACATGATCGATGTAACATTTATAGATGTAAACCGGACATGATCGATGTAACATTTATAGATGTAAACCGGACATGATCGATGTAACATTTATAGATGTAAACCGGACATGATCGATGTAACATTTATAGATGTAAACCGGACATGATCGATGTAACATTTATAGATGTAGACCGGACATGATCGATGTAACATTTATAGATGTAGACCGGACATGATCGATGTAACATTTATAGATGTAACATTTATAGATGTAAACCGGACATGATCGATGTAACATTTATAGATGTAAACCGGACATGATCGATGTAACATTTATAGATGTAGACCGGACATGATCGATGTAACATTTATAGATGTAGACCGGATATGATCGATGTAACATTTAAAGATGTAGACCGGATATGATCGATGTAACATTTAAAGATGTAAACCGGATATGATCGATGTAACATTTATAGATGTAGACCGGATATGATCGATGTAACATTTAAAGATGTAGACCGGATATGATCGATGTAACATTTAAAGATGTAGACCGGACATGATCGATGTAACATTTATAGATGTAGACCGGGCATGATCGATGTAACATTTATAGATGTAGACCGGACATGATCGATGTAACATTTATAGATGTAGACCGGACATGATCGATGTAACATTTATAGATGTAAACTGGGCATAATCAATATAGCATTTATAGATGTAGAGTTATGTGGTTATGACAGAAACTGTGAACCAGTTGTCATATATCGGGGATTCATAGAGAATTTTGGATTCTCGCAATTTGATTTCATATGAAAAAGTTTAAATAGATATCTAAACGTTTAGTACATTGTATTTCAGAGATGGCGCTGAGTTCCGTGAAATCTTTATCTATGCAACAGACTCCATTAGGACGTCCATCCTTTGTGAACCTTGATCCCAAGTACAAATGTCTCGAGTGCAGGTATAAATTAAAGTGTTCCTGTTTTAGTTCAATCTGGGTTTGAAATCCTGTTCGAGTACGAGTTAAAGAAACATTTATGTATGTAGTAGACATGCAATTGGAAATTTTTAATTAAGGAGGTTGCTTTCAGAGATGTTCTTAGAGATGCCGTTCAAACCCTTTGCGGACACAGGATGTGTGAAGAATGTGCATTCAAGGTGTTTGAAAAGTCTTCACCCTTGCGATGTCCTGGAAATGATGAAACATGTGTACCGACTCTGAAAAAGGAGGAGGTAGGACCTACTAATGTAATCATAGTATATGTGATAAGTTTAAATATCTGTTGTGTACGTAGAACGCTATTATAGTTCATATTTCATCATATATTGCGTATATAATTTTGGTGTAAACCAGTTTTCTTACACTGCCTTCTGTATCAGACGTATCAGGATATAAGCATAAATAATTCAATATTTCGATAGTTTATTTCACAAAGGGTAATAATGCTGACTTAGTTCTACTTCTTCATCCGAATATCAATAAAAATGATAAAACAAAAAATAAGTTTCCAAGTGAAAGTATCTATATTTGCAAAGTTGGGTCGTTGTAATGAACGTGTTTATTTCTTTTTTAATCAACGGATTTTTTTCTCTTTAAATGTGATGATACGTTACAATGCTGAATTACATAGATTATATTTTGAAGATATTTGAATTTTTTGCGGAGTTTATTCTTTCGAGATATTATATGATATTAACTTCAATTAATTCATGAATTATCATAGATTTTCAGAGACCCAAGTGCGAGACGTGAGACTGCTACGCTTCCGGTGTATTGCTCCAATAAAGACCAAGGTTGTACACAGGAAATGCAGTGGAAACAACTGGAGGTAGACAATTGCAAGTTCTTTCACTTAAGTTGTTTAAACAATTTTCAACTTCATTCACATTTGTACGAAGCAACAAAACATTAGCTCATGCACGAATCATTATCACAACTAACAATATAATAAAATGGACATATTACTGGTATTTATAAATGTTTATTAGTCATTTTGTTAAGCATTCTTTTAACATTGATATTGCATACATTTTTATGAGATATTCACAATCCTTCCGTAGATTCCGTAAAATAAGTAAGTTTATATAATTTCATTATACTTTTTAGGCCTTAGTCTGAGTTTTTAAAAATGAAAATCAAGTGAAACTTAATTTGGACAGGAACACATTTTGGACTGCGATTTCAAATCAGTTCAGTGTGTCTATGAACCTAATGGCTGTGGTATATTTACTCTGAAAAAGAACTTGGAGGATCATCTGCAGCGTTGTGAATACAGAAAGGAGCCATGTTTCTTCTGTAAGGATGACGTCGTCATCGTTCATAGACAAGCAAGTGATAAGAAGTCCATTTTATATCAGTTAAATGTTAGAATATAATTACATAAAATCAATCATTTGATATAAGGCGTTTTATTTCCACAAAAATATATCATACAGCGGTCATGAATATATATTTATGTAAAGGAAATAAATTCGGAGGAAGAAGTCATTTAATTGGTCACTCTAAACGCTGTGTTGAATCTGTTTATATCACAAATGAAAAACTTTGGATGCAGTAAGTAAATGAATAATTTATTCTTTAGGATCACGAATCAATGGAATGCAGAAAAATTCTTATTGATTGCCCAAATGGATGTGGTATTGCTGAACGACCTCGAGAAGATGTATGTACTGCCTATAAAATAGAACAGAATAGAATAGAATGGGTGTATATCACATATTCAAAATGGGTACATCCGATCACTTCTAACCAATTTTTAAAAAACCTGCTTCTCAGACTTTTGATTTATCAGAAGAAGGCTTGCATGTGGTTAAACTTACTTTCTTAATCCTCTTCGTGCGGTGTCGCACATATGGCCATCACGAGTGTCTTCCGGTACTGTCTGTCCTGCGACCATCGTTTAACTTGTCCCGACGTCCCTCCTGCTTTCTTCATTTCCTTCTAGACCGACCGCCCCAAGGATTCCATGGATCTTCGCCTCTTCGCGGGCTCGATGGTATCCATCGCTTTGCTACCCTTCTGATGAATCTAGGTGAAGCCTGCAGGCATGCCCGATCCACCGCCATCTTCTGTGCTATGCTTTTGTGACAGGGGTACAGTGAAGGTCCTCATTCATAGTTTTGCATTTCTGTATGTGTGTGTATGGGTAAAGGTCATTTCTGTTTTGCACATTTTTCAGAGTTCATCACGGAAACCTAAAAGGCAAAATCATGCTTCTGTTTTGTTATTAGGTTTTAACAAATTTGACCCTCGTGACCTTGAATACGGGTCAAGGTTGTTGTTTTTTTGCAAATTTTGTCGGGCGTCATCCAAGCCAAATATCATGCCTATAGGCGTTTCGGTTAACAATATATCATTTATATGTCTTAATAAATTTAACCTCTGTGACCTTGAATGGGGTCAAAGTCATTCCTTTTTGCAAGCATTGTTGGTCTTCGTCCAAATATCTTGTCTCTAGGCCTTTTGGCTAATGAAAAGTCGTTTGAAGGTTTAAATAAATTAGACCATGTGACCTTCAGTATGGGTCAAGGTTATTTCTTTTCACGTTTTTTGTTGGGCATTATCCTCGCAACTTATCAGCCAAATTTCATTCCTCTAAACACTTTTCAGTTAATATGAAGATGTTGTTTCATTTTTTCCCCCAAATTTGACCTATTTGATTTTGTATATGGATCAAAGTAATTCTTTATTAATCATAGGAACATTCCAACCAAACATTATGTACTTTGGTACTTTGGCCCAGATGAGCTAAAAAGGAAATAAGATGACTATTGTAAAGTGCCTTAATACATTTTTTTAAAACATTGAATCAGTTTTAGTGTTTGTAAAGTACAACGACCCAAGAAGGTCTGACTTTAAGTTTAAGAATAGTGACATACATACAGGAATTTATTTTGTCTTGATGAAGATACGATATATTAAAAGAATCAATGTCAATTAGTTTCTGAAAGAAATCATGCTTTTGATTTTAGATGAAGGAACATGAACTAGATTGTCCGAAAAGACCGTTTCATTGTAAGTTTTCAAATGTCGGATGTGATTTTACAGTAAGTATAAGAAATCTTAATGCGATCAATTTCACACTGTTCGTATCGCCCCTGATTTCTGTATTGATTTGTGACAGTACGCGATTGATATTGAATAATGGCATTTAAACTTTGAGGAGATAAAATTATAAGAAAAAAGATGAAATTATAATCTCTCTCCAGGGATCAAAAGAAGAATTGGAGAAACATGATCAGATTTCATTTGACCATCATCTACAGTTAACGACATTGTACACAGCTAGTATTGACCTCCAGAGTATGGAGATCCAAAGGGAATTGCAAGTAAGTGTGTTGTTGTTAATGACATTCCTGTTATTCCAATGTGTTCAGAAAATCGCGTAAAAATCGTTAATAAGTAATTTCATGATAAAACAGAATATTCTGTTTATGATTTATTACTTAGCCGGGGAGAAAAATGAGGAAATATAGATTTATTTTACATACCCCGTTTTATACCTGATAAAGTAATATTTTCTAACGCTCAGAACGGTATGTTTTAATAGCTGTGCGTAATGAAGACAAAAGATAGATATGATTTGGTTTATGTCAATATTGTGTTTTTATTGAATAACAGATAACACAAATTCACCACACAAGTGGCGCATACATCTTTTAGATAAACTACATTTCTGTAATGTTTGTTTTCAACGTAGTTTTTTTTTTATAAACAAAAAGAAATTTCAGCATTTAAAGACTTGTCATGATGAAATTACTTCAATTAAAAATAAATGATCTTCTAGGATATCTCAGAAAGTCGACATAATTTGAAAAAGACAAATGACCAGTGTTTGCAAGAAGTTGGAAGTTTGAGGGAGGAAATGGAAGTCAGGAAAAGGGCGATAAAGGAGATCAAGGTTTGCTAGAATTATTTATATATATATATTCAATATTCGCAGATGTGCTGTAGCAATTTAGACGTAAAAATAAGTTGTTATACTATTTAAACCGGATTTTATCCAGTTCCTACAGTGGTTGCCCGATACTTCTCGTTACACTATTGAGTCTGCTCGAAGAAATACACGTGACGTTTATGCCTTATCAAGTTATGATTTAATACTTTTGAACACTCACTTTCAAATCAAATCACTCAAAGCTAATATTGAAATATTCTTTTATTGAACTCTGCCGTTAACTTCGTAAACTGCGGACGTAAAACCCATTAAATGAATAAATAACGGATATAAACAATACTTGATTCCTTCCTATGATTGCATGCATGTCTTATTGGGAAAATATTTACGCTGGATTTGGCGAGGTCTACAGACAGAGGCTACTCAACACGTGCGGTATGCAAGCCGTGGCTTTAAAATAAAGAAAACATAATAATCAAATCACGATGTATTTCATTCTATTCGGCGTTTTCTGGGTAGCTGATATGATAAGAGAATATCCGTCGATAGCCACGTTATTGACATCCACCATGTTAACTTTTCTAAGTTGCAATCCGTTGCCCTCGCTGAACGCATGATCCACATGGAGAGAAGAGTAGAGGATTGCGCCAGGAAAAACACAGTTGAAAAACAAGGAAGAGACTTACAGGGTCTACGGGACGGCCAAATAAACCTATCGAACAGGTTAACGCGGTTAGAACAGAATGGTCTGTATGGTGGAGATAGACAGAGCATTGGAGGTATGAATAGAACATTATTACATGCCATTCAGATCAATATGTTTCTGATGTCAGAAGGCGAGGTTTCCAGTAGATAGAATATTCACATTTCATGGACTCCTTTTAGAATTAGGTATATTGAATTTTCACATTGTACTTTTAGTACTTCGAAAACGAGAATAGTACAAACGAAAATTTCATTTAACAAATCAGTAATTGCAAAGCGCATAAAGCACCACAAGAAAATTGGTAGAAATTACCAGGAAAATGTTGGAGTTTGTTTTCAACCAGATGTATATTTTTGTTATTTACAAAGTGGGTTTTCTTTCATCTTAGACAATGTTGCTGGCATATTACAAAATCATGACAGACAAATCGGATTGATGGATATTCGTCTGACTGAATTAGACTTGAGACTTCAGATTCAAGAAACGACATCGTTTAATGGTGTTTTACTATGGAAAATACGGGATTACACGAGACGAAAACAAGAAGCAAAGAATGGTAGGACGCTCTCCCTGTTTAGCCAGCCATTTTACACGAGCCAATTCGGCTACAAGATGTGTGCCCGAGTCTACCTCAATGGCGACGGCATGGGGAAAGGGACACACATGTCGCTGTTCTTTGTCGTGATGAGAGGCGATTTCGACAATCTACTTCCTTGGCCATTCCAACAGAAAGTGACCATGGTTTTAATGGATCAGGATACGGGAACAAACAGGCTGTCTGATACGTTCAGGCCTGATGAAAATAGCAATAGCTTTAGGAAGCCACAGACAGAGATGAATATTGCATCAGGCTGTCCTGTTTTTGTTTCTCACACAATGCTTGAAACGAAAACCTACCTCCAAGAAGATACGATATTTATAAAGATTGAAGTGGACACGAATGGCATTAATCCTCCATAATAACGGGTCTTAGATATAAACCGGAATGTTTTATATTCCAATAATCAATCTATAACATTTATACTCCCCTCTCAATATTTGATACATGAAAGTACCTCAGAGAAGATAAGATATTTATCAAGTTTGAAATTGTCATCAGTCCTCCGTAATATGCTATCCTTTGCAAAATTATGTTTCTCATACATTGTTTAAAATGAAAACCTACCTCAAAAAAGATAAGATATTTATCAAGGTTAGCATTAACAAGAGTGACATCAATCATCCGTGATAAATTATTCTAGACAAAATTACGTTCCTCATACAGGAAACGAAAACCTACCTCGATGACAAAGATATTTATTATTACTGAAGTGGACACGGATGTCTTTATAAAAGCAGGAATGTTTTACGTAGTAGGGAACAGTTTAGACGGATATATCAGCGGACAGCTGATCAGTGATCCTAATATAATTACGTTGTTTTATATATACCCTAATATGTAGACACTACAGCAGAATTGCTTTGATAAATTTCTTTCTTCTATATGCTTCATAGAATAAGTCCAAAAATATGACAGAGAATTGAAAAAAAAATGTGATAATAGATAGGAAACAGGTGCGAGGTGCTAATAATATAGACATCTGGATAATAATAAAACAATTCGTCTCTCAACGGCTAATGCTTTCATTAAAATGTTACACGCAATGACCTGTAATTGAGATGAAATGAACTTTTCCACATCTGTTTGTAAAGTGACGTTGTGTATCTGAGCTGATAGTAACACACAATTCATTAATCATATGGTGCACGCATGTGGCTTTATGGTGTTTATGACTTGATATCGTTAAACTCGCCTTGTTTTTGGATATGCTTACAAGGTGGATTAATTATTCATTACAAAATTCTGTAGTGGTCTTTTAACAAGTAACACTATCGTATGTAACATCGTTTAACTGTGTATAGCAGTAATGTATAAAACGTGGTAACACAGAATGCTTAAACTCATGGTTTTACTTAGTTTAATGTTTTAATTTTCGTTACATTTGATATAAAACTCTGCAATTTGTCAAATATGTATAGAAATGCGAACGTTTTCCCCAAAAAATGAAAAATGATTACGTCATATCGATTTGTTTTAAAACTGTGAAATGATGTAAGAAATGATCTTTCTGGAGTTTATTCATATTTAACCAGACTTTATACAACTTTAACGTGGAAAATAAAGAAACTACTAAGCAAAACCAGCACCTAGTGTTTGAAGGAATTTCATTTATTCTTCTGTCTTTTTGTCTAAATGCTATTAACTTCTTTTTAAGATTGTATATAGTGAACTAATCTTGGTCACTTTTGGTCTGATGGGCAACTGATGTGTTTTTACTATACATATTACTCTAGGGTACTTGAGGGTACGTTTTTTAGTATCACAAAATGTTTAAAAAATCGTACTCGAACAAAATAACAAAATAATGATAAAAAAGACGAATAAACACAATGTAACGTAGACCTTATAGATTTGTTACTTCAACGAAAATAAAAGGTTAAGGGAAGAATGGTGTATATATACGAGATAATGTTGCATCTTTGTCAATAAAATGCTTATAGTTTACATGAATGACGCACATGGTAGGTTATAATGTATGCATATGTGAAGGTAATGTAAGTGTAGTTGTAGTAGCGGTAGTGTAAATGATGTCTGTGGATAATGACTTCTTGTGTGTTGATGTTTATTGAGTTATTGATGATTTTATCAATAAAATGTGGTATAATTATATTGTTTTATCAATCTATACGGTGATGCATTGCGTCATGCCTCTGATGGCGGCGCCAGTGAACAACCAGGTTTCCCATTCATGCATCGCCACCAAACATTTTTATTTACGGTGTTTTAACTCAGATAATCAGTATTTATGATGATGTTCTATGTAAAGTAACAAGTTTTTAACATCGTGACGTAAGTGAAGTTTAACCTTTACGTAAATATCGGCTATAAGTATGATAACGTGGTTTGTTGACACAAGTCCTACTATTTCGGTACATTTCCCGTGTACTTGACACACTTAATTAAAGTGTATAGTTGTAAGTAAATACATTTATTCTAAAGATGGTTTTGAGTAGATTTATCTGAACAATTATTGGCTCCGGAAGTTTCATCAGGAAACGTAATTTTCACAGTTTTATTGAGTATGTTCACGGAAAAAAATAGTCACGATCATTTTTATCCTTTTCAATTTACAGGTTCTTTTAGGTTTCAAAAAACACAGGTGTTTGTAAATTTATCGTTTCCTAACCTTTCACTATAGAATTCCGTTGATAACGAAACTTCATCGAAATTATTTAGTACGTGTGAATTTCGTAATCGACATTCAAAATACCCATTAACATTAACCACCTTATCGAGTACGTCTTGGGTACTACACTGAGTGGGCGGTTAAAATCCCTCAAAACACGTAGGTGTTATATCTACACAATTAGATGTAAAGCTTAGAACTGTGTAAACAAAAGACGCTTTCGCCCACACATGGATTTACGGAAATGTTTTTTTTTCTGTCTTTCTATACACTTATACTGCATGGTTATATATCATTCACATCAAGCATACTACCTAAATTATTTAAAACGTTTGTAGAAAGGTTTTCTTTAATGTAATAAATGTTACATGTTGGAATGGATGTGTAGTTGTATGAACCATGAAATATCAGTAAATATCCTATTAGAGGAAGATATTAACACATTTTCCTCTAATTTGTTCACAAAAAACAATGATATAATGTACAGTATATATTTCACAATAAAATATCTGTTTCTTTATTTCATTTCACATATCGTTTTTAACTTCTTAGAAATATTGGGAACTAAGAATATATCTACGGACTTGTGCAATGATAATCACTTTTATTTATGAATAAATGAAAAATATATTTCAATACAAACAATCTTTCACATATCAAATATATTCGCGTATAGCAGAGCAGTTTTCAGGTATCCACTGTTTCATTACGGTGCGCCGAATCAATTTAAAAACCAATGATTTCTTATAATGAGAAATTAACCAGAGTACTAGTTATATTGTATACAAATATTGCGCTAGTATTTCACTTTTGTCATCGTTCTAGCTGAATTTAAAAGAGAAATGTTGGTTTAAAATGATTGAAAATTAGACAGATTTAAGTACCTCTGGCATTAAAGACGGTCCGAAATAAGAGCGCACATTTCACGCGTATTTCCTGAAAATGGTCTGCAATGATATCCAGAACTTTATCTCACGTAAATACCAAGCATACAGGAAGGTCCGAAATCCGCATTCTTTTGGTCTCTTGAATTTGCATTGTTTAGTAATAATTACGAAACTGTCAGAAAGGACAAGCATCCTAGTTAACAGACATCTAAGTTAAGTAACAGGTAAATAACACTTTTAAAGGGTCAGAATGTTAGTGTTTTTGTTTCGGATTCGGTGCCTTGAATCATTGGTTTTTTTTTTTTTACATTACATCTCGAGGGATTGATATTTAATTTATGTCTAGTATCATATACATATATCTAATGAATGTCTGGTATCATATGCTTATACTTCATCAATGTATGGTATAATATACAAATATACTTAATTAATGTCATGTATTATATACATATACTTAATTAATGTCTGGTGTCTGGTATCATATACATCTACTTAATTAATGTCTGGTATCATATACATATACTTAATTAATGCCTCGAATCATTGTTAATAAAGCTCTTCACACAGGTTAACTTCCATTTTCTCAAAGAAAAGATTCATACTGAACAAAACTGTTGCAATAACACTTGAAGTAGATCTTTATTATAAGTAGCATTATATACTGTATTATGAGGGTGAAAATATCATTATGTGATTTTAGGCAGGCAAAAAAGCCTTGTACTGCTGCAGAGGTCTGTAAGGTTCGGCATATTCAGTTACACATCTTCCGCAAATGCTTCCTGGTGATCTTTGTGTTTTTAAATATGAAAAATGTTTTGACGGGGGAGATCAAGTCTTTCACAATCACGATGATGCGCTTTGGTTTTGGTATACACGATTTGCAGTTTTGCGAGAACTTGAATATCCTTTTCCTGTTATCCACAGCGGCCATAAGGTCGGAGGTCACAAGAAAGCGGCGATGACCTCCCAATGTATGCTTTGATTTTTGTATCCGTTTGGCAATAAATGCTGAAAATTGAAACATCGTAAATAAATGTAGGAGGGTCTTGGTCTATAAGGAGATAAAATGAGGTTGTTGATTATTAGTGGTTTGATCAAATTGGGTCAATGCTATTGTAAACAACAATAGCAAACTAACGAGTATCAATTAGGTTTAACTACATATCGCACAGAGAAATAGAATGTTTCTCAATGAGATCACTATGACGACCGTAAAACTTCCCCATAACCTTCATCAATCTGCGTGTCTAGAAACCCTGTGTTGAGTCAGTTGCCAACATCTTGCTATTACTTACCGTGGAATGAACACTTGTATACTTGATGTATTTCCGTAATTGTGGAGATTGGACACTGGTCGGGGCAGTTAAGGAAAAATATCTCCTCAATAGAGGTTTGCGTTGGATGACTGCAATTGTATTTTAAACGTTTCGATTTTAATTATGCATTTTATCTCCTACTACACAACATTAATGATCAAAACGTATCATTGGACAACTGTTGTTTAGTTTTGTGTCTTAAATACATTTTAAATAAGCACTAGATATACTAGATGTTGTGTTGTATGTATGCTATAATGTCATGATATACCATATCATAGATGTGATATGGCTAATACTCTCTTTCATCAATGTGAAAAGGTGTTATTATTATTATTTATTTCAACAATAGTTATCTAACCTATAAAAAATTACACGGCCTATTAAGATAAATATTAATCAAACCTTATGATATCCTGACAATGGAGTCCCCTAGATTTGCCACCTCTGTACACAAATCCCTCACAACAGATATCCCTGATGGGATTGTATTCTTGTGTTCCACAGTGAGAAATGAGTAAGCGTCGCCGTTCTACCCCGTTTGGTCCACAGTCATGTGTTGCACTTGTGTATGTCTTGCCATCCGTCCGGCAGCATCGGTCATCGTCTGGTTTGTTCTTAACTATAGGGAAATATTCACCAGAACCTCCATCACAACAAAGCTCAAACTGTGAATTCATGGCAGAACCACCACAGCATTCTGTCAACAGATCGACTATCTCACCATCAATACACATGCTTGTCCTTATGTCATGCATTCGTTCGCCACAACAACGAGCGTGATGATAGATAGGGTATGTGATTTGGCCACAGCACATCCGATAGCCAGAATGGTAGTAGTCATTTCCACATAGCATTAAGTCCCCATCTGTAATGATCTTGTCTGAAGGACACACTTGGTATTTCACACTGAATCTCTCTTTACCACAACACTCCAAATCTGCAACGTCTTCATAAATTTTACCATCACAGCACATATGTGTGTCGTATTTGTAAACGGCCTGCCCACAACAGGCGGCATCTTAAACAAGAAACAAAGACGGAACAAGAAAGTTAAAATAAGAAAAGGTTATGATGGATATTCCGCAAATATAAATGGGACATTCTTCTCTGTCTGAAGAAGACGGTGATTGCAATTTACTGTTAATGGTTAAACTGTGCTACTGGGCAACACAGTGTTGGAGAGATCATTTAAGCTTTAACAAATATTCACTCAGATTGACATAACATTGTGATGTTTTAGAGGTTACACATAGTCCGTAATACAATTATTTAAATTAAAAAAAAAGTGTTTCTATGGTAAAAATTCATGGTTAAACATACAGATTATTCACCTTGACTTCCTATCGCTAGGCGAACACCGGTGTTATTGCGACCTCATTTACTTAGTTTAGTTAGTTACTTGGTTTTCATTTAGTTAGTTCAAATGTAATAACTACTATTTACACATACTTTTTCCGATTCCGCGCAACATCATAGTATCATTACAGCACACGTATGTATTATTATCCTCGGAAATGACGTCACAAGGCCCTTCTTCTGTGCCATCAGTCGTGGAAGACACCAGGATCACTAGTTAGAAAGGTGATAATCAGAAATAAATTTACCTAATTGTGGGTATTGAGCTGTTTTCTGATGCTGCAGTATCATACAATTTTAATTACACATAGTACTCCAAAAGGACTGTTGTGCATCACGGGAGACATATTGGTAAGAAAGTGTCCTTTTCATACCAATTTAAATCTACTTTCTCAATGTTGTTATTTACGTAAAAACATAACGGGTCTATTTTGCACTTCTGAATGACAATTATCAGTTTTTAACAAATCCATGTTTGGTTGAGACTATTTATCACAGCAAACAAACTTGTTTTATCATTGAAATAAGTATTTTGTATTGTGTTCAGGAAAAAATTCAACTTTGGTCAATTTTACTTTCGAGAACGATTTTGAATGCCATAGTATTTATTTGTTATAAGTCCACCACCATCACATGCATACTTGCGTGTTCCATGGTCCATCAGCTTGTCGTCAGTACTTAAACAATTATTGTTATTCCTATCTGTTGAGTAGTTTATACAGACATTTCTTTTTAATTCATTTTAAGGTCCCTTTACTACCTAGTTATGCTTAAAATGACAGACTGTTGGAATTTGGGAGAAAGTTTGTTGTCACTATTTCTTGAAAAGTACGTGATTGCCCAAATTTCATGTGTAGGTTTCCCTTGGTTCCTTGTTGTGCATTTTTGACTTCAGGACTAATAAAACAAATAAATGGCTGACAAACTGTCATATAAGATTTTGACAATGAAACATTGGTATTACCATTTCTGGAGAAGTACTCAATTGATATTTCCCAAATTTCAAAGATTATTTGTTGTCCTTGGTTGTAACCCTTTGTTTGTTGAACTGATCAGAAGACAAAGTGACTCTCAGGAATCCATCTTGGATTTTGACTGTAGAACTTAATCGTTATCGCTATTTTTGAGAATGACAGATTGGATCTTTCTCAAATTCCATTTCTAGGTTCTCGTTTGTCCCTAGCTATGTACCTATGTGTACAGATCAGCAAAAGAAATTAATATTCTAATATCAGACAATGGTGGGCGCCAAGATCACTCTAGGTAGTTCACACTTCTTAAAGATTGAACGTCAGCATCACTTTAGGGAATTGAATAATCTGCGATGCGTTTGACTCTTTCATAATTCAGTAAGTATGTGTAAAATTCTTACCTATGGTTGAAAGCAGTGACAGAACTCCAAGGTGTCTGTATGTGTTCAACATCTTGTGGTAAAACTGATTTTGCAATATGCAAAGCTAAACGTTATATACAGAATGGAGTATTTTTAGCTCTTCCGTAAAATCTTTTAAAATCAGATAAGCAGAAAATATTTCATTTCTCTATTTATCTTTGCACTTTTAGTCTTTTGTTTTATCGGGCATGTGATGTGACGAGGAGATAAGTGGAGCAGCTCATTCATTATGACGCTGAATGGGGAATTTCTTTAGTATCCTTTCATTTCAGGTATTTACGGTCATATTTAAGGTGTAATTTGTCAGCATCTATTTTCGCGATTTCTTTAACCTGTGTTTTTAGTTGCTATTGTTTTTCATTCAATGTTTGTATGGGTCTTTTGAAACCTATATGTAAATGGGGAGGAAAAGAACGTGGATAAATTGGGAATATTTTGGGTAGGTAATGATTGACTGTTCCTGGATATTCAATTTAAATGTAGGTAACTCTCTGGGTAATGAGGATGTTGTTCTTATCTTTAAGGATGTAACAAAACACACGGATGTTTCAATATAAGTGAAGAATACGATACAGTAGGACCACACAAAGAATCATAGTTTGCCCCATAAAGATGTTTTATCCTTCTATAACTTGACAGGAGCTTAAAATATAGAGACGAAAGGAACAAGGAAAATCAAATCTGGACAAAATAAATGTTAAATTTAAGATAGGGATTATGAAAATAACGCATAGGATACACGCATATAATCTGAATCGTGCCAATATACATGTGAATTCAACATTGGGGCCAAAGTCTACTACCTGTATTCTCGAGAAATATACCAATTACTTTAAAAAGATGCAACTTCCATCAGGGCATTCCCTAATTATTTGGAAAAATACAGGGACATCATAGCAAATACTAAAATCGTAAATATACCGGTGGTTTCAAAATATGTAAAGTGCATTGTTTGGTGAGAATGAGAACAAGATATTAATAGTGCATTAAGTTTGTCTCCCCGAAAATGTAAACTTATTTCACAGAATAAGCAAAAGACCAGGGGTCAAAAGTTTTAACCATATCGTTCATTTTACTGTAACCAGGTTGAATACTTAACGTTGTCCCAAATTTTTGTTTACATATGACCTCATTACGTATAAAAAATAAGCAGGGAACGTCTTCCTTTCTGGTTTTTAGCTCACCTGGTCCGAAGGACCTGTGAGCTGATGTCATGTCGCGTCCGTCCGTCCTTTCATTTCAGCCTGAGCGGATTTTGACCAAATTTGGTCTGAAGCATCTTTTGGACAAACAGAACATTTTCTTCAAATCCAAGCATCCTTTTGTGAAGGAGAATCAAGTTTGTTTCAATGGCGGGTTTCGTCCCTTTGGGGTGGAAGGGGCGAGATACAATAAGAGAAAAAGAGCAAATTATTTAAATCCTACTCCTCCTGTAGGTTGATTGGATTTTGTCCTAAGTGTTTATATGTGAAGGGAAAACAATTTTGTATTACGATGGGTCTCGGTCCCCTTGGGCAAAAGGGGCGGGGTCCAATAAGGGAAAAGGGACAAATTCTTTAAAAGTCTCTCCTCCTGTGGAAATTATTGGATTTTGCACAAATATGATCTGAAGCATTCTTGTGTGAAGAGGAATCAGTTTTGACGATGGGTCTCGGCCGATTGGGGATGGAGTGGCGGGGCCAATAGAGGAAATAGAGTAAGTTCTTTAAATCCTACTGATCATGTAGGAATTATTCATTTTTGCCCAATTTTGATTTTTTGTAGAAACATTGGTGCAAGACCCCATTTGAGTTTTATACATGTATACATATATATTATACATATATAATATATTGCGGAGACGTTTAAATCCCAACAGAGAAATTAAAGGTACAACTATTTCTACCTTATCTATCAAAATCATTTTATATATATTTAAAGATTTGTGCTGTAAATCACATATATTTCGCGTGGGATTAATTTTCACGTTAATACGCGGAGAGAGTCAATTGCAAATTCAGATCCTTATTTCAACGAAAATAACTGTGGATGGTATACATGTTGATTTGGTTAACGATATCGGAGACTTTATAACTCCAGGTCTGTAATAGCTCAGTATTCGCGAGTTTTAAGTAAGCGGTCGCGAAATCATGCATTCGCGAATACGTCTTAAAAGGTAATTGTGTATTTGCGTCAGTGTCTTTGATGTAGTTTAAGGAAAGGTATAATCCTACTCAATACAATCGAAATGTGCCTTTATACCATATTACCTTTGTATGTTGAATTACTTGGATTGACAACGATTTAAATAGCGGTCGTCGTCGAGGTAAGAAGACGTTTTTTTCTTCCAGAATACTTAGACTTAGACTTATTGTCCTTTGTCATTTTCAGGGGCTCTATCTAATGGCATATATAAGTGGGTTTTTTTCATGACGAAGATTTAGAGCTTTCCGTTGATTGACAGTGCATGTCATTTCATATATTCTCAAAATTCTCCAATCAGTTCGATAAAAACACGATAAATCAATTTCATATACGTCATCTTTTATTACATTGGCATAATATTTCAAGTTTTGTACAATTTTGATTTCTTTTGTGAGAATAATAAAACATCTTATTTTTACAATAAATACAATATGTTGACTGAAATCAATACGCTTTTACAATAATACATTCATAACATCTTCAACAAAACACCACATATATCAAATTAATTTATTACAGCCATGTTTCATAACTCTCGTTAGCCGAATCCCATGTATTCGTGCATTACATTCTGACAATCACATTCATAGCATTTTCTTGTACTCATTACATGTCACGGCGTTATAAACATGGCAGTGATAGGCTGAACGATAACAAATATACTGGATTGTTGTTACGCCAGTTCCTATTGGATAACAGTTATCAAATTGTAATGTATGTAACATGTGACAGTGTACAGAATACAACCCGGCAGTATGAAAATAATAGACGATTAACAAGTATGTATATCTTTGGAATTTCTTATTTTCTATTTTAGTTATAAACGGACTCCTTTGTTGGGTTTCTACCAGGTACAATTGGTGGAAATTTGTCGAAAAAAAGGGTTCCTATACAGGAAGTTATGACGTGTAGTTCCACAACATAACTAATGTTAAGTATATATATATAAAATGAAAGTAGACAAACATCATGTTTGAGAGGTCGAGGTAAATTTGCTTATGCCCTGGTTTGTTATTGATCGATCTCATAGGAAGCAATGTAACTGTAATTTCGAAATACTTTCAAGGCATGTTTAAGTGAGAATGTGACTTGTGAACGGGCACTCTTTATGATAAACTGTTGTCTACAATAATAAAATTCTGTTATAATATTTCAGAATTATTCAAATGAGGCATAATTCGTAGATAAAATGATGAAACACTATATGCGAAAAGATAATATTTGAGTCAAGATAGTATTAACAACAGAAAAAAGTTTCGCTTCAAAAGTCAATTTCGAGTGTATGTCGATGTAATGTGACAATGCAATTTGCCCAAACATTTTACATATATAAAAATAAGAAAAATATATAAAAGAAGAAAAGTTAAATTAATGACGAATGACGGACACATCATCACGTGATCCTGTTTGATTTTGTGACGTTGGTTACAATAAAATGCATAGATAAATAAAATACAAGTGCCCTTCTGGCATCGCAATTTCCAAATTGGTTTTTTGACAGAGCAACTAAACTAAACTAAAACATTTCACACCTAAGTAAGACAAAAAATATATACAAAATAGTTTTATAAAAGGGTAATAAGGAACTTCAACAAAAAGATCATTTTTAACTTTAATAACGACATCAAATATAACCTCAGTCTTTTCGATGGAACTTGAATATCCCGCTCCTATGCGTTTAAGTATCAATGTTTAACAGACATTATGAAATAGAAATGAAGCTTCTCGAGGGAAAATTTTGTTGAAAATTGCTCATGAAAGATTTTTCTGGTGAAAATAATCGGCACGGAATGCGATGGGACGGGATGAGATGAGACGAGTTGGACATGGGGATCAATACAAGGTAAACTATATAAATATATATATATATATATACATCTGAATATAGAATGCTATGATACGGATTCATATATAAAACAGTTTTATAAATAAGAATGGAAATGTACAGTTGATGTATGAATTTGATGAAAGAAATAATGCCTTAAATGCTACAAGTGACTTGGCCATCATTCATAGAATATACACCTATAATAGACTACTGAGGTCTGATATTATCGAGTAATTATCAAATATATATTAATATTGCACAATTAATAGAAGTATGGGATTAGTGCACCTCCTAATTCGACATTTCTTTTGTTAATTATTTAGCCTGGTACGTTTTAAACTTTAGGCCCTTAATAACATTAATCAGTATTTGAAGTATGAAACAACTATAAGATACAGTGGAATTGTTCTACTGTATTTAGTTTATTAAATTGTCAAAGTCCAGTATTCCATAATTATTAAAATTATACCGTACATATGTTCTATGTTGAAATCATCAAGAAGACTAGCACAGTAATTAAGAACGAGAGCTACTATCTGTTTTTAATTATAAAATGGTTCTTTTGTCTTTGAATTACAGTATTTACTCTTCTTCACGAAATGAGGTTATTACCATTGCAAGCACCAGCAATAAGAATAGGTGAGTAAGAGGAGTTTGATATATTATGCCCTATTAAAGAAAAACCCTTAAAGGTCAAAAAAATAGAATTTACATTAAACCCTTTTGTCAACATTTTCTGATATCTCCTAGATTGAATCTAAAATGGTATAAACACATACGTATGTACATATTTATTTTTGGATATCATAAATTTATCTGAAGCGAACTAAAATCATTCGCAATAAACTGGCCTGAAAGGGATTTCACGTAGAAATATTTACACAATGAAAAATGAATTACCCTAATTAAATATGAATGAATAAAAATGCAACCTAGTTCACTTTTTTCTATGTTTGATGAATCAGCTGCAATAGTTTCGGAATGATGTATCAAGGAACTTAATACATAAAAGCTTCAAGTGAAATTATATAAGATATGGACTGATAACATCAAAATAGAAAGACCATACACCAATTTAACCTAGACTCCGACAACGCGGTCGATTTTTTATAAGTCTCTTGGCCCTTTTTGAGTATTTCAGAGTGTAATGTCCTGAGGATGTTTTGATAAGAATGAAACGTTTATGATTTAAAACGTGTCTACAGGAAGGCGGCGCATTCCAGTTTCCCATCTGTCCCTTGTTTTTCTTCTGAACAAGGTCGGTTTTGACCCGGTACTCATCACTGTCAGTTGTCTTCTTCATGACATACGCTATCAGAGAGAAAAATGAAGACAATACTCATTTTATTGCCACTGAAAATCATTTCGTTCTTGCATGCTCCGTACGATTGTTGATCATACTATTTTTATGAACAGCGTGTGAACTAGAAAATAGTTGTGATGATGACATCATGTAAGTGTTATCAAAATATTGACTTCGAATTTGTAAAGTCCTCAAGAACCATGGTATCGAATCGCACAAGCATTTTATTATATAAAAAAGTCAGCTGTGATCGAAATGATACGAAAAATGTTTTTACCATGTTGGATACAAGCAACGTGTTTCAAAACTTTTTTTCGGAGCCAAGTTTGCGATGAACACTTCAATGGCGTTTTTCGGTTTTGGTTATGTCTTCGGCCCCTCCTCTGACATAGGGTACTGTTGTAGGCGTAACATAAATGATAAACTTGATGTAGAATATTATGATAACTCAAAGGAGTTGATATGTATATATAGTTACAGGCAACGTTTAAAAATCAGATTGATTTTGCAAAACATACAAATGCAGAGTTGACCTTCAACACATTATAACCATATGATGATGTTGATTTTTTTCATGGTTTTACTATCAAACAATTAACTTTGCTGCTGCTATTACCTAATAATAAGAACGATAAATTCAATAATAAAAGAAAGATTTATCTCGATAGAGTGAAGAAACTGTAGCAGCAAAGATGCTGTTATTTGCAATTTTGATTTGATGTGATAATCATATTTTTTTCCAAATTGGACTGTCTACCTGTTAAGTGGCACTGGCCTATTGTTGCAAAACTTATGAGTTCTTCTGTCAATAATATCAGCACCGCAACATCGAAGGCCCTTCCGCTTGGCAGTTTTGAAGAAGCGGTAATTTTTTGTCCTCGTATTATTTCTACCACATAT